CAATTATCTACAAGTTGAACTTTGTATGTTTTAAATCGGTATTAAAAAAAGTTTCCCGCAGAAAAAGTGTAATTCTTAGAAAAACTAATGGGTGATGTACGAAGACTTGCCCACTGGTTATTTCATAAATGTCTCTCGCAGCGATTAAAGAATCCATCCGAATTTTGGCGAGAAATAGTCTGTAAAAATTTGTACGAAATTTCATAAAAAAAGAGCTCCTTAAAGTATAACTGAAAAAAAACTCTAGTAAGCAGTACGATACTTGAAAAAGTTTTACTTTCAAAATAAACTTTCTGATAACACCTTCCATTTTGTATAATTTGACTGAACAGATTTCGCGTTATTCTAAAGTATATTTACTATCTTTCTAAGTGGACTATGTCTAATGAAACTCAAAAAAATCTCCACATAGGTCTATGGCACTCTGCTAGCTAAGTTTGTTCAAAGTCTGGTTCACACTGCAGATTACCATGCTTAGTTCCATCATTCTTTAAGGAAGAAGGCTTTATAAAATAATCGAGTATTTTATTGATACAAAATTACTTTTCTTAATTTTCCTAATGAATTTGACTTCGTCTTGATTGAATATGTGGTTTAACTGAATTGAGAATTTGATGAATAACCATGAAAAATCCTTAAAATACTAAGAAAGGAAAAACAAACAAAATATTTATGTTTCAGTCGATACACAGTAGACCAAAAATTGTTTTCTACAGCTTTTGAGCTTTTGGTGAGCTACCAAAATGGGGTATAAAATTTTTCCTCTGTGGGATCGAACTGTAGCGTCAAGTTAGAAAAGCAAGAATAGAAACTTAGCAGCGTGTAATACTGTATAGTAGATGTATTTTTTCAGTTATACTTTCCAAAATGTCTTTTTATGGAACTTTTTCGATAGTTTTACAGACTATTTTTTGAAAAAACTTCTAGTCGAACTTTCGAAAAGTGAGAGAGATTCAGAAAATACTTATAGGTCATTCTTTATAGTCCAGTTATCAATTAGACATTGGAAACTAGAAGAAAAAGCTGAGTTTGTCAGTGCTATTTTAGCAGTTTACTGAACCAGTTTTTGCGTTAAAAGGGACTCATTAGGTGCCCTCACGAAGCTAGAACAAAATGATTGCATCCCTACAGTATTTCGATGTTATAAACAAACCTCACAAATTGGTAAAAGTTATCCGATGGCACAATAGTAGATATCTAGAAGATAAAAGAAGGATTCTGAAGGGAACACGTTTTCCGTTTGTTAACTGTGTTTGGCCAAGAATGAACAGATTCAACGTAAAATGGTCCTGGTAATTCCATAAAATACACATAGGAATTTTCAACTTTTATGTCGGTTTCAAATATGTTGTTTCGTTTTCCCCAAAACGAACTACTTGTTATCGAAATTTTCTGAATGCTGATCGAAATTATGCGCAGTTTGAACTGAAGAATAGTGTAATAAGAAAATCTTCAGGTGCTCTCGATATTTCGCCTACAGAAAATATGTATCTTGGCAGCTCTTGAAAAGTTCAATCGAATGGGTAAGACACAAAAAAATTTTCAGTTGAATATTGAAAGCTGGAATGTTGTTAGAGAAATATGTGTATTCGATGT